TTTTCGTGTTTTTTTTTTTTACTTTTCCCCCTCTATTACTAAAAGTAAATAAATATTATATAATGGTTATATATAATTACCACCGTTTTCTTTCGAAAAACAATTAGAGGTCCGTTAATAACGTATATTAAATTTTATATTTATGTAAATTGTCTATACATAAATACATTACATTATAATATAGACGTCTAAAACTCTAACCCAATAACTACACATTTAGAACACTTTGAGAACGGTTAATAGGATCTCTTGTTGGTAAATTTTTCAGAATTCAATTCATATAATGTGACAATTTATTGTTGGTATGTACTGCAGTTACTGAGCAGTTAACAGGTCATCGTCGTTTTGTATATATGTTCGTAAAATAAACTGTACGAAAACGAAGCGAGTTATTAAATGGCGACCATCGTGTGTGTGTGTGTTTTAATATAATGAACAATTTATTATCATTTAACGTCGTGTACGGGTAGGAGAGGTTAGTCGACCTCTGCTTCAATAATAGTAATAATTATTATTGTCACCGTCTAAAACACTGCGGGCCATATTATCCATATTATTCTGGTACCTATATTATAACCTTTGACGCGGCTACATCATGGTAGTGATCGACTGACATTCCATCGACAGCGACGGCGAAAGGTCGTCCCGGCGACGATTCACTGTTCAATCGAATAATAATAGCAGCGATACAATATGACTTTTATGAAACATAAGCATAGCCGATATGGGCCCAGCTAATCGCAATCCGTCACTCACAGCTGTAAATTGTGCGTCTAAAATTTAGCCTATCCGGTAGCATACTCGTGATATTTACAGAAAGCCGCTGCAACAGTGAATAATGTTATAGCATTCGACTGTTTATGATAATCGAGACCAATAATACGCAAATACACAATTGCATAAATAAGGATTCGCTAAGCACACACATCCCTATTTTTCATTTAATAATAAATGTATTCAAATTCTGATGTTTAAATGTTAGATTTACTTAAAAATTGTATTTTAAAATTCTTAAAATTGTTTTGTACTGTTCAAGTGTCATACTTCAATGAATAAACTTCCTTTTTTCCAAATAAAAACCTATGGATGTGTTTTTTTTATAAATTATTTAGTGAAAACATTTTTAAAAATTTCCATAGGTACCTATAATTCAAAATTTAAATGAATAGTATTTCAGTTATCAAAATAAGTATCCTTTAAAATGGTTTTATAAAAGTATAAAATAGGTATTATATTATTGATCTAGTATTTATTATACTTAGACTATTTATACATTTTTAAGAATTTTGAAATTAATTAATAAAATTATCAAGTCACCATAATCCTTTTATCTTCCAAACCTATATTATCATGGACTTTTTATCTTTAATAAATAAAGTAGAACTCAAAGACTACTCGTTAGAATTTTAATATTGATACTTAAACTCATTTTCAGAAAAATTGCCCACTTAATAATTTATAGTAAAAAAGGAGGATTCTTATTTAAAAACATTGTCTTAAAATATAATTAAAAAATTCCAAAGATCAACATTTTTAATAACTGTAATATTAAAGAAAAAAATGGGGTGAGCTTACTTAAGGAATCGCTCTGTACATATTATACATTTACGTATGTTCGCCCCTGCAGGTTACAAGTACTGCATCAGCATAACCCTATAAAAGAGAATAGCTTGAACGCACGCGACGTTCGTTATAATTCAGGTCTTTGCATGTAATTTACTACTGTAATATTATGTTGTATATATCACACCCATGCACGCTCTATCCTACGCCCCGTGGTTGTGTCTAAATTGACGTACGACCTCTATTCGACTGTATGTACATAACTACGAAAAGCGTACAGTTCTTTAAGCTAATATCAGCAAGTATTTCTTAAATACATTTGATTTATGACTTAAATTTCAAAATAACCTAACCATGCGTGTCTATAATGTTAAAACTCTAAATTTTCAGCAAAAAGAAATCTCCTGATTATATATATAAATCTAAATTCGAGTAAGTAACGTCTTCATTTTTCAGTTTTCCTGACCTATAATTGTTATTATTTATCGAATTTCAATTTTCTACTAAAAAGTTTCGCGCAAACTAACTAAATTACGTTTTGCATGACGCCCTGTATACTGATAACATGCGTGTAACATTTATTGTTCAATAATATTAATACACCTACGAAATTTATTTCTAATAATAAATGACATTACTGCCACAATAAGTATATTATGTGGTATTGTGCAAAGACGACGACGTATATTAACCAGGAATATTACAGTGCATTAGGTCGACGTGACATAATATCGATCCAACCTATGTGGTTGTATATTGTAATGTTTTATAGTCTTTAACACACGACGAGCAGTCTAATGAGATGACATTTATTTACGCTAATATTATAGTTTGTAATTGTATTTTTTATTCATAAACCGATTATGTCTGGTTCGCAATTGTTTTGTTAGTAACCTGTGTCACCACGAATCGAACTTGCAATCACCAGTATATCTATTATGTATATTACTTTAATCTTACGTTTATGTATATTATACATTACCTATTTAATAATATATTATCCGTCGATAAATAACATGACAAATAAAATATATATATATGTAAAGTACCTAGTTACTGTGGTATATGTATAGGTACGCACAATTGGGTACTTGCAATCGATTAATACGATTATAAATCTTTTATTTACGACAATCAAAATATTTTTTCTTACACAAGTGATTTAATATTATCTTTAATTTAACGTAAAACACTAATTATCTCAAAAACTATTAATGGTTTATTTTTTTTATTAACAGTTAAGTTCTTTACTTTTCTATAGGTATTACAAATTGTTTTAATAATACTCCAAAGCAGAATATTGTTTGGAATGTTAAGATATTTATAAATTTAATTATTAAATTTCAAACAAATATTTAATAAATTATAACTCATAAGAGTAATTTAAAGTGTATGTACTATTCCATTCTAATCATCCTAAAACAAAAATAATTATAAATTAACTTCTCATCCAAAATTCGATTTTTATGCATAGAGGTTCAATGAAAAATATTCTACATTAGAAAAAAAAACTGCCAACAAATGACTAAAATAGTAATATATATAAATTTTCGAAAATATGTGATAGTTTTTGAAATATTTTTTTATAAAATAATATGTTGCATACAATTAAATCGTCATCCTATAACGCCACATAATTTGTAACTCTATCGGCAACTTTATTAAGGCCCACTGCCGACGGTCGTTGTATAAAGTCATTTTTCTCGGTTTTTCTCTGTATTTCACTATTGCTCATCATAGTCTTCTTCAACAATAAAAGCATACGACAACGATAGTTGTACGGCGGTTATGTCCGTGGCGTGTTTTGCGCGATATACAAAATTATATAAAAATGTCAAGGCCACTGAAGGGCAACAGAGCGAACACACTGCACCGTTTACACCATAACATAATACGTAGTAACTACCTATAAAGTAATGATATAAAATATTACACATAGAAAACGCAATTTATAGTATTTCCGCAGCATACTATTCGTGGTGAGGAGAACAAACAAAAAAATATTTAATATAAAGACTCAGAGGCTACATAAATATAATATAAAATTTACCTAATCCTTTAATATAATTCACTAACTGCTGTTCGGCATCGATGAACCGCGCACAATCAATATAATATAATATATAAACGTCGTAATAATACGCATGTATGTGTTGAACCTTAAACCTACTTTTGTCCTGTATTGTAGATGGAGATATGTATATTGAATATACACCTCTTGACTCATGTAATGTATAATATATAGTTAGGATTCGATTATTATAAACAATGAATATAGAGGGGAGTAGAGAAAATGCACGCGATCTAAGCCTATGTGCGACGCACTAGTCGTTATTATATTTTATATTATCATAATTATTTATTATAATAATATGCAAACTACATTTATGTTTTCGATTGATAAGAATATCAAAACATGTTTTTATTTTTAATTCTTTCCGCATTTGTAATATTATAATTTATATAATTGTATAGGTATATAATATCTAAATATATATAAGACCACGTGTGCTGTGTTATTATACAGGGTGATTCATCCAGCGCCCTTACCCCTATTTTTCCTAACTATTCTATGCCAATTTCAATAATCATCTATTCGTCGGAATAGCTAACACTACACATATTACTCTATGTATTTTTTAATTTGTGTTTGCTAAATTTCATGACTATGTCTGTATGTAAATTATATTGTTAAATAACTATTGAGGAACCAGCCAGAACTTTAAATAAATAAACAGACAATGAATTTATTGAAATTCTGATTCTTAGAGTTTTCATATAGATCTTTTTTTAAATTTAGTTTAATAGCTAAACTATGCTTGTCCAAATTTCGATTTATTTATATCAACTTTTCCAAAAAAATTATTACTACCTTAAGATATCATAAAAAAAGGTAACATACTTTTTCAAGAAAAAAAATTGATATCACTACTGGATTCATATATTTTGTGTTAAAAATCTAAGTACATATTTAAAAATATGGTACTTAAAAGACCACAAGGATATAATGGTGTAAAACTGTAAAATATATGGAGGTTATGATAAATGTAAAATTATTATCATCATTATTAATTTACTAAAATTGTATAATTTGCATAAATTATCCTATTACAATATATACTAGACTAAATATAAATTAAATTGATTTGAAATTATAGGTAAAACAACTATTATAGATAAGATAATGTTACTTAGTTATGAATAGTGACTATAATATAATATTCCTTCTTCCATACAATTTTATAACTTAAAAACTAGGTAATTTTCAAAAATCGTATTCGAAATTTCAACTTAAATGCATTAATATTAAAAAAAAAAAAAAAATGATCCACTTAATAATTCAAAATAAAAAGGGAAGATATGCGAATCACTCTGTATTTAATATATATATTATATATAAGCACGTATAATATATGTATATTATTATCAATTATGTATTTATGTGTATTTATGTGTTTATCCATTTTCTATCATCATAGCAGCGAGTGTTTTGCCGGATTTTCGCACTGTGGCAGTGTGATTAGCTGGTTGTGTACATATTTGATATTATACTCACGGCCACTAAGCACATTCCACTGGGCGTCAGGCCATGTCCGACGATGACGACTACCACAATGAAGTTCACCTCATAGAATAACAAAAATAATATTATAGAGTAGTTAATATTTAATAATAACAACAACATTAGTCGTGTATAAAAATCACTTATTGATATGGAATCATCATTACTATATTGCACTATGTATGTATATATATTAACGTTTTGCTCGCGTTAACACGAACTTTAACATATATAACGAGAGGTTATCGCTATGACGTGTTATTTATATATTATGTAATTAAAATACAAATACAATATTAAATAATGATTATTTATATTTAAAGTAACTATGCGGTCTTCAGTGTACCTACTTGAGTTGACATACAACAGGCCAAAGTTTAGATTATAAATGATTGTACATGTGCGTTGTTGCAGCATGTGTATATAATATGATATGGATGGGGCCATGGGAGGCGTTCATCGATGCGTACATAATTTATTACGATTGTATCATTGACCAACTGTGAAGGAAGATTTAAAAACACAAAACAGAAATTAAAAAAATATATATATATAGGTACCTCAAAGTCGTTTCGAGGAGTTTAATTTCAATATATTCGTGTTCTATTTTAATAATGTATGTACAGTATACATACGTTATTAAATCTATTATTATACATAAGTAATTCGCTCGCGCGTACTTGTGCATTCTACGATAGGTGTAAGTCAGTAAAAGTGTATTATAATATGCTACAGAGTTTGAGACGGGAATCCGTACAACTACAAACAGTGTCGCAATAAAACGTTTTATCGAATTGTATCGGTTGTCTTACAGCTATACGCCCGTCACGTTAAATCATATTATTTATTTATTACTATTATTAAATGCGCACACGTTGAATGCGGTCGTCGAATACGCTCCGTAAACATTTTTTAAACTCAGATTAGATGGTTTTTTTGCACGCGTGTATTGTGCGTTGAACTATGAGCAATTAAAAAATAAATAAAATAATAACATTACTCAGGGCCACGGCACTTCAAATAAAACATCTCTGGTATATTTTATACACAATTTTTTTTTATCTAGCCCATTTTCACTCGTTTGGTGTTTATATATTATTATCACATAATACATGTTAGTATAATATCTGACGTTCATAAAAAAACGACTTTATATTGTAGTCCTCTCCTGGGACCGGTATAATATATTATAATAAATGATAAATGATTAATCGACGTATGACAATATTAGAACTTACACTACAAAAAATTGCATTTATGAAGCTTATAGTTTTATTTTTATGTTATACATTTTGTTTATTTAACCAATAAACAACATTCGGTTAAAGTAATATTACTTTGTTACAAAATCAATACCTCGCCATAGTATCAATGTTATTATTTATTAAAAATGTAATTAGCGCAGACGTGAAATAACCTTTCGATAGTAAAAGAGCCTAACTTCGCGCAGTCAAAATCATTTTCCCGATTCGGTATGAACCTAATTACTTGAGTTTGCTTTTATATATCCAAGTTATATATATTTTAATGTATATAACGTTCGTTAATTATTAGTGTATAAAAGTAGATTTTACTATAATGAAAATACGGAAGTTTATTTTTATAAAAGTGAGAAAAAAATGGAGGACTTTACATTTAAATTTGAAACTCGCAGACAAATACAAAGTTATTGTGTCACAGTCGCTATAATATAAACGAAAAATAAAATATGGTAATATACAGAAAAACATATTATTTTCACGCACAACGTGACCAAACTAATACGATTTTATTACTCTTTATCTCAATACACGACTTATGATGGCGGTTGCAGTGATTGTGTCTCGCGCCCCACTCATTACTTTTATGATAAACATAAACTATTCTATTTTTTAGGAATTATGACAGTGACACTCAATAGCTAATGCATGTATGTATGTAAAAAAAAAAAAAACTAGAATATCCGGACTCTCCGATTTAGGTACTGTGATACTTTCTGTACTAAGAAGGTTTTCGTACATTTTGCGATACTGGTCCCCTTATTAATTACCGAAATATTTTATCCGCCATGCCCGAAAAGTAATGGTAGAATAATATTATTATCATCTCTCGTGTATTGCCTGCAATTACAAAACGAAACGTGCGCATAACGTCCAAGTATTCTTGTATACGATTGTATATAAGAAGAGAAACTATATAAATATCGATTAACGCCTTCCTCCCGCTTCTTAATTTATTGCTATACCGCCCAACGCTTATGCTCGTTGGGTAGTATAGTATTATATTATAAATATTATAAATGATCTCTTTTAACTTTGTAATTTTATTTTTTAGTGCCGCCTACGTATCATTTGGAGGATTATTGATGCGACTGCTGGGCGATCCAAACAATTTACACGGATTCGAAGTGGACCAATGCGTTTACCTGCTGATGAAAAAATTAGCTTTTTAAAGTTATCTACAGTTAAGAAGGGGGGCTATAATTATTTTGCTGGAGATAAATTATATACATTTTCATACAATTAAAATATAAGCATTATAAATGTATATTATATTGACTTGTCTATTTTTTTAATTTTTTTTTTTAAATAATACCATTTCATTGAAATGTGTTGACGGAACACTTATCGTATACGTAATAAATATACCTACTGTCTAGATGTTTCTGCTGATGTCATGCGGTAAGTCATGACAGGAATGTTAATTACTTCCAGTTGTATAATTAATAATAGATTACAAATAATCCCTCTAACTATTATGCCGTTAATCTATTCCCCGATATCTTCCATAACTGATATGGAATTAGTTTTGTTGCCTGTTTTTTTTTTTTACAAACAATAGCACAATCGCCGTTTATTTATTCCAATAAAATATTTTGGAATATCTTGCAGAATATTAACTATTATGGATTTCATTTCACCCATATTCTATAACTTTGGCTGTATATTTTTCTAGATAATATATAAAAAAAACTCAAACAGTTAATTGTAAACAGGATCAATATTCTTACGCTTATAGTGCTGCTGCCAAACTACTTTTTTAGGACTGTATAAAGCTATTGAAATGCAATAAGTATTCAATATATGTGTATTATTAAAGTACAACTTTCCCCGCGCTGCATAATTGTATATTGGATAAAAATAATAAGAAGAATCTGTTAAATTAAAATTCTGATGGACGTACGCAGACGACAATGTATGTTAAAAAATGAATATTAAAATTTCTAAAAACTAGATTTCGTTTGTTTCGTGTCTTTTCAACACCACATGTGTATCTTGTGTTCGCCTATTGTAAAAAAAAAAATTTTAAATTCATATCCTGGTACAGTGCGTTATGAACAGTTTAAAAGTCGATGTCGATGTCAGCACTGTTGCAGTTTAACACGGTTTCGGTTTTTTGCTGGCAATCCTCTGCACTGAAATTCGACGCTTGTGCGTTGTTGCGACAACCGGTAACAGCTGGAACGTGCACTTAGCGTGCTTACTCACGGACATGATGGCGCCCGGCAAACCGTATCCATTGTAATCGGGTGCGCTAAACACAGTCACGAGCTTACGGCCCGCGAAATATTGGTAACCACCATCCACGCACTACGTATATGTAGGACATATAATACATGATACATACATTTATACAATATAATATAATTCAAAATCTAATTAAAAAAAAAATCATTCTATAAACTTTTTATACATCTAACTACTTAGTCAAAATAACTTAGTCACTTTTTAGGAAATTAATCTTTTGTTGGTGCATACTTTTTAAATTCATATATATATATATATATATATTTATACAACAAGTTTATATTATTTTTGTACTGCAATAAAAAGATACTGGCAATTATTATTATCGTACGTATTTGTACGATCCAATTACCACTGTCCTCGTTTTAGAGCACACCTATAACCTAAATTTTCAGTTATCCTATTGTGGATTTGAAGTACAGTACTTATAAAAACATACTTAAACATAGTTATGTGTAATAAACTTATCGTTTACTTTATTGAACCTGCAATTAAACCTATTTAATTGGTCAATCTGAAAGGTTTTTGTGTAAGTTGTAAACAGTAAGCCGCCCAATGATCTATTATCTACTCTTTAAATATACTCGATGTGTTTATTTTTTGGTAAAGTGTTTTGATATACTAAATAATAATTAGTTTTAGGTACCGAACAAGAAAAAAAACTTTTATTTACCACACTTTTTCATTGCAATATGTTCTATAAAACGTAATATTGGTGTAAAACTTAATTACACGCTACGTAGCTTTAAAGGTATTTGAAAAAAACCTAATTCTATAATAATACATACTTATTAGAACTATAGATAAGTTATCACAATATACCTATTAATTATGATGTCTTAAATAAAATAAATCTAAAGAGTTGATATAACTAAGATATCTACTATGAACTGGTAGGAGTCAGAAAATGATGTTAGATAATTTTCTAATAATATAGGTATTAATACCTACGTTATTTATATTTAATATATGAACATATTAAAAGTCCACAATCTTAATTAAGGATTTAATGTTACATATATTTCGTTTAAAAATTTAAAGTTTTAGACTGCATACACAGCGTTATAATAGTTAATACTATTTTAGTATGTTATTCAATTATAAGTTACAGATTTAAGATAGGTTTGACGTAGGTAAAATTTTTCTAATTTTAATATTGCTTTGGAAAATAAATAAAGCCAACTCGCGATTTAACGAATTTTATACGATCAAGAAAAAAGTTTGTTATATTGAGAGTTCGTTACATCGATATTTGTATTATATATCACAATATTTTCAAGGGAACGAGAATTTAATTCGTTTTATCGAGCTTCGTTATACTGAGAGTTGACTGTGTAATATTTAAAAAAAATAGTATTAGCATTCGCATAAATGATTTTAATATTAAACATATTATACTGATTAATTTAACTTGTTTTACAAACTTTCTTCATATAAGGTTACACTAAATCAACATAATAAATTATAATTAATATATGAGATAATATTTAATACCTATAAAAACATTTTTTAATACTAACAACTATAGTTCATTTAGATTATATGATTTAAATAGTCTATGAAACTTTTATATTTCTAAGCTTACTTTAGTTTATCTTAACAAATATAATCAAATATATCTAAAAGCAATTTCTTATGTACCAACAAACATTCCGAACAAATGTTAAACTATACTTATCTATACCTACATTCTATTCAAAAAACTTATTTTAGTTTAAAACATTGATATTAATAAATTGTCAAGCCAGTTGAGCAAGTATAATAAAAATAACGAACACAATAATTTGCAGATGATCCTCGTTGGCCTAACTAACAAAACCTAATATTTAATGTAATTTTCTTCAAATGATTAAACTTTTAAAATGTGTAAATTTATTGATTGAAAAATGAATTGTTTATATTTATAAACTATACGTAAGCATTTATCTTAAACTAGTTATATTCAAAAGGATAAGTATATATATACTAGATACCTATTATTTTATTAACTATCAATTAAACATAAGACCAATAAATAATACACGTCAATATAACAAACATTCATCGTTTCAGCTGATACTCATAAATAAAAAATTATAAATTAGCCACAATTGTGGTACCTATCACACAACAAACAAAATTATTTGAATTTACATGAATATGATACTTATAAAATTATTTCATTTTGAATTTTAAATTAATTTAGTAAAATGTTAATTAATATAATAGATGTATGTTATACAGCTCGTGGTCGATACTAAGCCCCATAATAAAATTATTTATTTCATTTTATAATCCCTGCATGAACTTTACTAATAAAATAAACCTAGAATGAATGTATTATATAGAACCTAACCTAATTCTAGCCAAACATTGTGCACACGGTAAACATAGAATAACAAAAAATGTAAATGTTCAGTGAAATAATAAAAAATAAAAAAAACGATAATAATAAAACAAACTCATCATGCGTAGAGATTTTAATGAAATTGTAATAAAAATCTTTGACATTACCTTTAACTCTTTATCTCAATACTTGGACCCTACACATCTGTAACCATTGCCAAATTACAAACAAACAAATATATATCATTATAAACGGTAAAACGTAGCATAGTTGGGCTGCGAACCAAGAACGCGGGTAATAATAATGATAATGTAATCTCGTAATAAACACCATAGTGACCAAAAGAGGGGATGACAATTCTATTAATTATATGTGTTACCTACACACATTTATATATATATGTATCACATAGTTCAAAAATTTGTTTCTTGACTATTGAAATAAATAGCAATTGTGTATAAGAGATAAAATTAAAAGAAAAATATGTTCATCGTAAATTCATAAATAACAATATAATAATATCATGTTTAATGAAAATACTGATCTGATGTTCGTGTTCGTAGGTACTCCATATACTTGATTATTCGTATACCTGCCTTTTAACTATATTATTAATTTACAACAAAAAAAGATTGACAGCACAAAAAAAAAGGTAAAAATAATAATAAGTATACCTACCTACATAATACATATATAATATAGAATAATAATTAAAACTTCACGATTCGAAAATAAAATCTATTTTTTTACAAGATAAATAGTTAAATTCTTAGAAGAAAAATATATATTATGTTTTTGACCAATATTATATAATTCTTATTTTCATTTTTCACTCTCTATATTTCATATTTAGGTACATCGTAGCGTAGCTCAACTATTCAATTATTTATTGGAATTAATTATTATTATTATTATTATTATTATTAAAATATTGTGAGAAAACTAAAGTAAACTTGAAAGTACAATAATAAATAAGCTTAGCCCTTTTTGTGGTACCTCGAGAAAAAAAAATATTAGTTGTTCGTAAAAAAATTGTTACTAATCTGCAGTAGACAGATATTACTGGCTGTGTGTGTTTATGTATAAGTACCATACACGCTATATGCAATACCAATGATTTCAGATATAATACAATAAAGGAAGGTATATACCTGGTGAGCTCTGACCACCAACTGAAACCGGAATCGGGACAAGAAATCGGCCACCCGGTCGGCGCCGAACACGTACGACACATTCCGGCGAACGTTTTTGCGCCAGCCCTGGATAGGGACCGCGGCCGGATCGGACCACAGCAGGTCGCACAACACGCCACGCCTGGGCACCGTGGTGGGCCTCCGGATCCGGTCGATCTGAGCCATGTGGTGCAGATCTGGGCTGAGGCCGCCGTGTGTGCAGAATATGATGCCGCTGATGACCGCAGCAACCGGCATGCAATCGAACGTCCGGTTGAACGCTCGCCACAGCCGGGCGCCCCGTATCGGGCCGTACCGGGACCGGCACTCGCCGTAGAACCCGTACCGGACGTTCACGGTACGGCACTCGTGGTTCCCTCGGAGCAAGTGAACGTTTTCCGGATATCGAGTCTTGAGCGCCAGCAGTAGAGTGATCACCTTTGCGAAGCATATATTATATGCCCGCGTGTATATGTAATATGTTGTAGGCTTATGGTCAAATCAGGCATTTTATTAAATGCCTAGACATATAGTGAAAGAATTTAATGTTTATGCAATTTCTCCATCTGCATAGACATTTAGTTAAATGCCTAGTCATTTAATTAAATGTCTACTTCATGCCAGGCAAATAATAAAAGAACATTTTGTATTATTTTAAAAATTTAAATATATTTTCTATCAGTTATTTATTGCTATTTTATAAATAAAAAAAGGTATGTGTTATTTATTGATATGAAAAACACTTAAGTGTATGAAATAATATGTTTAATTTCGTGTTTATTATTATTTAGTATTGTTTTAAAAATGAAATCATAAATATATACAAGTAATAACTTATTAGATATGACAGACATAAATGATCGTACGAATATATTGTATAGCCTATAGTCAGTATAGTACGAGTAGTGAGTACTATATTATATTCTTATTTTAAATAAAAATAAAAATTCCATTGGTTTTTACCTTGGAAAATTAACGTAGGTACTAGGTTGTATGAGAACCTTATCTATACTGAGTACCGTGGGACAAATTATAATCTTATCGATTATAACGACATACACATTATGGCGTTACGGAAAAAGATACAGAACATGCGATTGAATTGTACAATAATTTAGTTTAATACGTGTATTACGTTTACGTAAATCGTGTGTAGTGTGACAAAATGTGACAACAAGTAATAGGTAACAAAAACTTGTAGTTATAATATAACTTTTTTATTTATTTTTTATGATTTCATTTTTAAAACAATAGTAATAGTGGATACGAAATTAAACATATTATTTCACATAGTTATTATATTATTATTTTATTTTCTACGTTTTTTACATATCAATAAATAATACATACCTTTTTTTTTATATAAAATAGCAATAAATAACTGATAGAAAATATATTTAAATTTTTAAAATACTACAAAATGTTTTTTTATTATTTGCCCGTCATGAAATAGTCATTTAGTTGAATGACTAGGCATTTAACTAAATGTTTAGGCAGATAGTGAAATTGCATAAACATTAAATTCTTTCACTATATGCCTAGAGGCGTCGCCCGAGTGCGTCCCGTTAATCATATCATACCTTTTTAATAGCCCGATTACGTCCGCGATAAATCGCAAGTAATTTTGGTATATCCCATGTGCGTCCGCACATAAAAAGCTAATAAAAAAGCAATATTATTGCTAGCAATATTTGTCTTTATGGATAAAATGCATTGATATCTTATAATATTACACTACTTGCATTTACACTATAGTCCATACGTAGAAATCTATTATTCATAACTAGTCTTTGACAACCATGTGCAGTATGTGTAGTGATGTACATGCAGCTAACCGTTTTGTTTAAATATATTTAATTAACATTTTATACATTTCTAGACATGATTATGTGAAAATCATGGCACTGAAAAGTCAACCAAAAAAATAATTTAAATATTAACCCAACAGTTTAAAAATGGATGTAAATCTAAATAATTAAATAAACATAATAATAATAATAATAAAATTTTATAATAAATATAATTAAATAACTAAATATTTTTGAGGTGTAAGCCAGTTCACCTCCTCGTGGTGCACCCTGGGTAACTCTAAATGAACTGGGACGCACTTGGGCTACGTCAAAGTAGTGACCTTTTCCTCTTGGGACGCACTCGGGTGAGACCTTATTCCGGACGCATTCGGAACATTAAAAAAAGGACATTTTGGGACGCACTCGGGAGTTTCCCATGCCTAGGCATTTAATAAAATGCCTGATTTGACTATATGCCTATGACATATATATTATAATAATATAATCATTGACTTTATTTCATACAAATACTTGTAGACCAATCTACAATGTAGACATATACAATTGATAGATAAAGACAGTGACTTATAGAGGTATCTGTGTAGTGGTGTCATTTTTTTTTTTTTTTTAGGAGAGGGGAGGAGCATTTGTGTATAGCTGTTTTATTTTAAAAGCCACCCGACAGACGAAAGCTGGTTTTTGGTGAAAACAAACATGTGTATTTATATAATTATGAGAAAACTTCATATTGTATAACAGATATTGGGAGTTAATTGTTTCAAAATATTCAATTATTTTTCAGTTGCATTTTAACAGACGTGTTTGGTATCCATTGCAAGTTAATCTGTTCGGCCCCTCTAAAAAAAACTACCGTGACAAAATAAGCAATTCGTGATTTAAGTAGCTACCGATGTGTTTTTATGTAATGATAAAATTAAGCTATTCTGTCCTACACGGGTTATTACTTTTCACAATGTCTAACTCAAAAAGTGTATAGCACTTATATGAAATTAAATTTAAAAAAAAAAAAAAAATTATTAACTATAAGCTACACACACGCCGATGCCGCAATTTTCTCCGTGAACTGAAAAAAGGTACACTAATACCGAGATACACCAATGTAATAGTGTCGCACTTTATACTAATTGTTCGTTTTTCGTCGGGCGGAGTCTAATTTAAGGTACAGCCATCCGAGTGTGTCCCTCCCCCCACCCCCGGGGGGGGGGGGGTCGTATACGCACAATCGCTAAACGTTTAACGAATTTCTATAGCGAGAGCTTAAACATGATTTGGTAGCGACCCGCGATCGTTAATCGACTTATCGATTTTTCGCGCAACCTCGGCGCTAAGTATTTTCTAAAATAATATGTACCTATAAGATAGGTACATATTATAATATTATAATTATTAATATCGTGTGCGTGTGTGTGTACTTCGACGGACTGAGGGCCGCGGTCTACAAAATCGCCCAGGAACAGGAAGTCGGCTTTCGGCGGCCGGCCGGCCACGTCGAACAGCCGGAGCAGGTCGCCGAACTGGCCGTGCAAATCGCCGACCACTTTGATGGGGGCCCGCAGCCGCAGCAACATGGGTTGCCGGAGGAACGCGCGCCGAGCGTCCACGCACAGCGTCCGTATGCGCGATTCGTCACAGAGACGGCTCGCGGCGTCCAACAGGCCGTCGACAATCTCGTCGTCGGTACAGCGCCGACGAGACATGTCGTATATGTCGTATGACGACAATAATATATTGGTACAAAAATAGGTAGGTACTATTGGCAGCTGGTACCTGTGGTATAATAATTGTGATGTTTTTGCCTTTTGCTGCGGTATCTCGACGGTAGCGCCACGACCTGCAATGTGGGTCACGAGACGGCCGAATGCCAAATATTATGTTATTATTACTGTTATCATAATGATATAATCACAATTATTATTATTATTATTATGAAACCGAGTGCGCGTATACAACACGGTACGTTGCCGCCGTATCGAACAATCACGGCGGTGGTAAAAACGCGGTCGCTATGGTAAATGTAAATAATAATTATATTTTATTGCATTCGTCCACTCGGCTCGTATACGAGTGTGGTGATGTGATAAAGTAGAAAATTTCGAATAAAAAAATTTCCGTTCGAGAAATTTACAAGAGAAAACTCACAACCAACAACTTTCGATCATTGTTTACGTTTACATATCATAATATTTTGTTGATTTACGACTAATTAAAGAATAAAGTTTGTTTAGAACAATTTAAATATACATTCACGACACGAGTATATTATAATATTATATGTGTATATATTGAATGGGTATATACTATTGAGATTAAGCTTTTAATAGAGTTATATAAACTTAGGAATAAAGTCAAATTAATGAACCATATTTCGAAATTAGATTAAAAAATATTTCAAATTTTTATTATACCAGTGGTAATATTTAAAATTATGTGATAAATGAAGGACTGTTACAATAGACAAATTTTGGATTCTAATATTCTAAGCAAAACAAAGAATGTATTTGTTTTATTATGTACGATACGATTTTTTGATTTGGGTATCCGAGTACACTTTTTATAAAAGAAAATATTCTTTGATCTTTAACTTCAAGAGGAGTGGTTTTTGTTTTCTGCATAGTAGCAATTTGGATCTAATTGGTTAGTAAATTATTAAAAAAAAAAAGATAAAATATTTTAATACTATGATAATATGTGATGTAAAAACCTAATATTTACGAGTAATTAATAAATTTTGACTTTTTAAAACAAATTACTAATAAATAGTATTTTTTTCAAATTTATTCCAAAAATACACAACAATTAAATAAATGGTATCCGCGCATAAAATTCGTTATTATCATAATATTTTTATTTCTTTTGAGTTTTAAAAATGTAACGGTTAAATAATATATGTATATAGGTTACAACTTACATGTGTAATAAAACTCAAATCTATTAGAATTTAAAAGTAAATGTAGGTAAGAAGATACATAAGTCAGTTCAATACTATAGTAGGTAATTATAATGCATACAAATCATGAAGGTTTTCACTTGGTAATTTATAAAACAGATTTTTTTATTTATTCGCATACAATAACAAAAGTTTAAGACAATTTACAAGTTAAAATGCATATACGGTTAGTATACACTTCCTATTTTATTAAAATAACACACACACATAAATATCAAAAACAGAAGTAAATTAAGTTAAGCTGCAGGTCATCTATTAGGTATAATAGTAGGTAGTAAAAATTTCAAACATGAATTTTCAAATAAAAATAGCTACAAACAAACTTTCCACTTTCCAGGAATAAATATGGATGTACAAAATTACTCATAGGAAAATATGATCAATGATTAAAATATTCAACAATACAAATAATCCAAATTCATCCATGCATTATTTTAAATATAGAAATTTATTAGTTAGATAATAATATTATTTTACGTTGTATAAAAATTCATATTTATAAATTTAAGCATTTTATAGCATCAATATACAATAATTATTGTAGGTCTAATATTATTGCTTATATAAACAAAATTATTTTATCATGTTGATTATAGGACGCTTAACTTCAATATCTAAAATACAATTTTTGATAAAACGAATAAGAAGAGAATTTTTTACAAAATTAATTCGATTTACTGATAAGTACAATAATTTTTTAAACCTGGTGCTATCAATAACACAAATTTCGAGTCATTATAACAAACGGATTACATCAATAGTTTCTTTAATTAGTCCATAAATACAATAACGGCGTTTACGGCGTTCAGATAACAATCAAAAACTGATAATATTGCTATGACTTATATAGTTGTGAAGTAAGTGGAAAATATCGAGGCGATAACTATATGAAAACTCAAAAACAGTTTTGAACTTCTATGCGTCACATATAATCTAAGGTATATGTGACTCAAACAACGGCAACGTATTTTAATAACGTCCTTACTATAGAACTACATAGTGCTGAAAAACATTTGGGAAAATCTAAGTTCAGTGATTGTAATCTTATAAAAATATTAAAACTTAGTACACAGAATGTTTTGCAAATAATAAAATATAAGTTAGGTCGAAAATGTAACAAGAAAACATAGAATAATGTATAAGAGGGGAAACAGTCAAGGCAATAATCAGACCCCGCGGCATTAAACTATCCAGTGAATTTAATTGAAACATTCTGGAGTATCAAACAGCAATTCAGAGACGATATAACATAAACAATTTTAGCATTAAAAGCAAACAGCAAAACACGGCATGGAGTAATTTGTGAACAAACGGTATCAATAAAAATATTAAAAAGTATGGAACCTATAAAGTTACTTGAAGGAATATCAGATATGACTTAAAACAGTTCGTAAGTTTTACAGAAGAAATTAATGAACTGCCTACGTTCGCTCAATTAAGATTTTAATTAAGATAAGAGTAACTAGCGAAATCCGAGCTGGTCAAGAAAGTAAATCAAGGTACCACAGTCGATTGAGTCGATTTCTTTTGAAAAGGCTGTGTAAATGACTTCAACTTGATGCTTTAAATTAAAAGACTAGTGCAGATAAAAACTAAAGTCGACGGTACTAGTTAATGTCTAGTGACCAAAGAAAGAACCTTGTTAGTCCTGTGAAATAATCGACAAAAGTAACCACTCAATTCGTTTAAGTAAAATTAACTAGAATATTTTATCTACGAATGGAAGAATATAAATTGGTCGGTAGTTGATAATATTTGTTGAATTTTCAGATTTTAGAATTAGAGTAACGCGATTGTATTTCCAGATGAAGGAAAAGACCCCTTCTTCAGCAAGTGACAGCGATGTAAAAGAGGTGCAACTATTCCATCTGTTTGACGACTTTGAATATTAAGTAAATTAAGAATAAGTATATACCTAAGTGTAGGGAAGTATCTTCTAGGTTCAGATTCTCCTACTTTAGATCTAGCTACCCTTAAAGCACTGTTTTGACCTTTATAATTTTAATTAATTAAAATCATTATCACTATTATTTTATAAATATTTTATTTTTAACATTATTACAATTTATAGTTTTCTACTTTGTTCACAATTTATACATAACACAGATTATATACGTGTGGTATTCAACCGACATTTTTCACTACGAGTATATCCGATAATCGACGAAGACCTGCATTCGAAACGCACTTGAGTAGGTATTGAATTTTGTGGTGCAATCTTGTGGCTGTTGGACGAGAGCCCTTCAATGCATGCCTTTAACTATATATATTTGTTTACACCTCGCCTTCGTGCGTTTTGCTCATATTATATAGTAGCAAAGCTTATGTCACAAAGCTTAAATTGGATAAAAAAAATTGAATGGCTGATTCTATACATATATAAATATATTCTATGGCTTAAAAATCATTAACACGCCATAGTAACGCATAAGCGGGGAGTAACATGTTAAAAAAGACTTCTTTCCACTTACGCAAAAAGCTACTAATTACAAAATACAAAAATGTACCGTTTATTATAATCCGCAAATGTATTCACAGAAATTACAATTTAGTTACAATAATAGTTAATGTATATTTTTTTACGTATTTAATTTTTGTAATTTGTTTATATCACATGAACTTAACTATAATATCATAATATATACCTAAACCTAGATTAACTTTACTAAAATATTATATATTATGTAGAATTTAAAATTATTGTAAATTATATATTGTGTGTAGTTTGTATGACAATGTTAAATTGATTATTAATTTCAATACAGCGAACAATAAAACAATAAACATTAACTTAGACATTGTTTAATCACGAGGTGAAATATTACTTTTTTCAATATATGTTAATGCATGTCTACATAGCAACGACGCTATGGATGAGCCAATATATGTATATAAGGTACATTTTATGTATGAACAATGAACGGTGTACAAGCAAACAGAAACAATTTATTGATAAAATCAATATATTTCAGGAAATTGAAAAAATGTTGCGTTTCTGAATTGATTGTAAATGCTTTTTTTTATTCTGTTTTTCATAAAAAATTTAAGATGAGAACAAAATACAAAAATGAAATATTTTGATTATAAAAACTATATAGGTGGGTGTAGTTATTTATATTTTTCTTTTAAAATATATAGCATAATAATTTAAAAATGGCCAAGCTGACATCTTTCGATTTTTTCCTTAAACAGGTAAGATAATAACAAATAATATTATACGAACAATAGTATATACCTACGTATATAGATGTAAAGTATTACTATTAATTAGTTATTTAGTATTTATTTTATAGTAAATACCTAGTCATTTTAATTTCAATACTATAAAAATAATATTTAATTTTTAGAAAATTAGATTATTATTTAAAGATAATTTAAAAATGTAGACATAATATAATAAGGTGTTTAGGTCCCTTATGTATTTATACAATTCGAGATGATTAATATTGAATGAAACTTATATTTTCTGTATTATACTAAGTACCTAGGTATATCATTAAAAAACTGAAGTATTAAAATAATAATTGTAATCCTATTTAAAATACTGCTTTAGCTATAGCCTATAGTGCATATTATGCAGTCTGTGCCCAATAGATATATACACCATAATACGCGATATACATAGCAATATAGACCATAATATATATATAAACATAGCAATATCGACTATAGAAATTCTTAGAATCAAGATATTCCATTAATTTATATAGTCTGTAAATACTAAATTGTAAGGAAAGCCATAGGGGTCATCAAATAATGGTGAATCGGGAACAATTTTC